TAGTTTAATCACCCTACTGTAGTCAGAATAATGTTTCTAAAATGCAAATCTGACCATAAAATTCCTTCACTGAACTACCTATTCTTCTTAGTATAAAGTGGCTTCATGGTCCTGGTCTTCAGTCTCATATGTGGCCATTTCTCTTTTGAACTTTAACCTCTAACCACACTGAGATTCTTGTTTAGCAGAGGGCAAGCTCACAGCACATACTCATTACTCAATCTCCTGGCTAACAGCTACTCATCCTTCAGGTTGTGGTTTAGATAGATACCAAACCTTTCCTGATCCATCATTACTGCAGTTCAAGATGGATTCCCCACCAATGTAGTAACTGAGCACACTTTCCTAGAGGAAAGGAAAGCACTTGTTATTCTCTATCTAAATTGGTCATTTACTTTTCTCTGTCTGGCATCCCCAAATCCTGGCTATTATCCAAAAACAACATAGCATTCGGGACTACGTTTATCTTTCTCAATGTTTTATTTTCAGCACCCATAACCATGCCTAGTACATATAAGGCACTCAATATTTATTGAATGACAACAAAGAAATCTTTAAAAGTGTTTTAAACTTAAGAAAAGCTGCTACCACTATAGGTTGTTCATTTTACAGCATTTTATATGCAAAATAAATACTTGTTATAAAAAATGTTAATAAGTTTTAAAAATGAGGAATTAAAAACACTATCATCACAAATTTTTCCTGAAGAACTATATATATTAAACATGTAAATTAAATGTAAGCATACTACATGTAGTCTATGCTCCCAAATTATGGCCACAAATTTGGAAAAGTAAGTTACTTCCCTAGCTTTTCCTTGCCATGTGATTATCCCTGTGGGTTAATTTGCACATCATTACTTAACATTATTTGCCAGAAAACTCTCTCCACTTGGTTCTAACGGAAATCTTGTTATGGGTCATAAGTAAAAGGAAACACAAAAAAAGCAAATTTTAAGAGGGACTTCAAAAGAGGACAGGTCAACAAGACCAAAGAGGATCAAAGAGGACCACAGAGGAGTGTATACTGACTTCTGAAACTCTAAAAGAAGAAAAACTCAAGTACTAGAATAATCAGGAACAATAAAACAGATTTTATACAACTTAGGATAGGAAGTAGAATAGTAGATGGAAGAAAAAGATACATTCAGCAATTATTAATTAACACAGGTGGAACTGCTCGAATTGGTAAAACATAGTTCACTTATTTGTGAGTTCTTTATGGAGTGGTGCCCATGAACAGGTACTAGGTATACAAATGGTTCTAACATGGTTCATGCCCTAATAAAGCTTACACTTGACCAGAAGACAAACAATAAACAAGAAAACAAATTAACATAGATATCATGTTGAGTGCTCTGAAGTAATCAATAATAATGTTAGAGAACAATAGCATGTGGGAAGGCCCAGAGTCTAGAACTGGCTTAGCACATCTAAGCGAGGCCAGACAGGCAAGGAGACAACCATGCACATCACAGTCAAGAGTGTAGATTTTTAGCATAAGCGCAATGGGAAATCACTGAAGAGTTGTAAGCCAGGTAAGGAAGTAAAAATATTTTTTCCTCCCTAAGATGGCTACAGCTAATTACACCAGAGCAGGGTTTAAAGTGCTTCAAATAGCATCCTATACTTTGGCCAGATACCCAGATATCTTAAGCAGAACAAAACCTTCTTCTATTCAAATCTAAATCCACCTCTACTATATGGAAAACAACATTAAAGATCACAATAGGAAAGCATCATTTTATCATATCAACTTCAGTCAATTATTTTAAATTATCCATTTCTTCATCAATAAAGCCAGAATACTCTCTTCTAGTTCTAAAACTCTATCTATGATATTATAATGGAAAGAAAGAAATATTTAGGATGAAAACAAAATTATAGAAGGCAAAAAAGGACTTGGCAGGATTCTGAACATCTTGGATTTTTTTTTAAGTCGGTTGCTAAATATTTTAT